TGAGTGGTTGCTGGGGAAGGGGCGCTCTACTCCTCTGTGGCGGGCGCCTGTGGTCCCAGCTACTTGGGAGGCTGAGGCAGGAGACTTGCTTGAGCCCAGGAGTTGGAGGTTGCTGTGAGCAGTGGAACAAGCCATGGCACTCTACCCAGGGTGACAGCTCGAGGCTCTGTCTCAAAACAAACAAACAAACAAAAAACCACAACCAACTAAAGGAAAATTCCAATTAAGCTCAAATAACCGTTCATCCAAGAAAGCAAAAGAGAAACTCAACAATTAGTCTGCTATCCAGATTGAAGGTAGGCTAGTAGAAGTAAAAGACAGGGTACAATCCAACTATCTGCTTCTACAAAACACACATTTTAAATCAAAGACACACATGTTGAAAGTAAAAGGACAAAGATATATGCCATGCAAACAATAATCAAAAGACAGCAGGTATGGCTGTATCAGACAAACTATTTTTAAGATAAAAATTGTTACCAGAGACAAAAGACATTTTGTGATCCAAAAAATAGTCAGGAAGACACAGCAATTATGAACATATGTAACAGTGTCCCCAAATACATGAAAACAAAAACTGACAGAATTGAACGGAGAAATTAACAACACAACAGACTTCAATATTCTCACTTTGAATAAAAGATGATACAACAGCTAAGTCAGAAGACTCACAAGGACTCTGAAGACTTAAATACTATAAACCAACAAGACGTAATAGACATTTACAGACCCCTTAACAAGAGCACTTTATACATTCTCAATTATACATAGAACATTCTTCAGAGAAGCTCACGTTAGGCCTTAAAACAAGCTTCAATAAGTTTAAAAGAAATGAAATTGTATGAAGTCTATGTTCTCTGAACACAATGGAATGAATTTATAAATCAAAAGAAAAAAATTCGGAATATTCATAAGTACATGGCAATTAACACAATTCTAAATAACTAATGGATCAAGGAAGAAACAAAAGTAGAAAATATTTTTAGTTAGATGAATGAAAAAAAAAACATGACATATCAAAACTTATGGGATAAAGCTGTAGCAAGCAGTATGTAGAAGAACGTTCACAGCTGCAAACATCTGTATCAAGACAGATAACAACCCAGCAATAATCTAATCTTCTACCTTAACAAATTTTGAAAAAAGGGAAAACAAACTGAGCCCAAGGTAAGCAAAAGGAAGGAAATAATAAAGATTAAGTACAAAATAAAGAGACCGGAAAAACAACAGAAAGAATCAACAAAACCAAAAACTGGTTCTTGTTAAAATGGTCAACAAAATTGACAACCTTTAGCTAAATGGGGAAAAAAACAAAATGTGAGGACTTGAACTACTAAAATCAGAAATAAACATAGAGACATTACTATTTTTTATTCAAGTAAAAATTATAATAGGATATTATACACAACTGTATCCTAACAAACTATATTATTTACAACTCATTCTACGATGTCAGCATTACCCTGAAACCAAAATTAGACGGAGATATCACAAGAAAACTACAGACCAACATTCTTCACAAAGATGAATGTAAAAATTCCCAACAAAATGCTAGTAGGCCGAATCCAGCAACATATAAAAAGGATTATATATCACAACCAGTGGAATTTATCTCAGGAGCGCAAAGTGGATTCAACATTACAAAAAAAGCATATTAGGGCCAGGCACGGGTGGCTCACACCTGTAATCCTAGCACCCTGGGAGGCCAAGCAAGGTAGGTGAATTGCTTGAGCTCAGGAGTTTGAGACCAACCTGAGCAAAACAGAGACCGGGTCTCTACTAAAAATAGAAAAACTAGCCAAGCATAGTGGTGGATGCCTATAGTACCAGCTACTCGGGAGGCTGAGGCAAGAGAAGAGGATTGCTTAAGCCCGAATGAAGAGTTTGAGGTTGCTGTGAGCTACGACACCAAGAGCACTCTACACAGGATGAAAGAGACTGTTTCTAAAAAAAAAAAAAGCATATGAGAAAAACCATATGATCATCTCAATAAACACAGGAAAAAAATTTGACAAAAATCAACAACCTTTCTGTAATGAACACATGAACAAGTTACACGGAAACTTGCTCAACCTGATAAAGGGTATCCACAAAACCCTCACAGCTAACATTATACTTAATTAATGGAGAAAGACTGAATTCTTTCCCCTAAGATCAAGAATGAGACAGAGACATTTCCTCTTGTTACTTCTATTCAACAATATACTGAAGGCTCTAGAGAAAGCAATTAGGCAAGAAATAAAAGGCATCCCTATCAGAAAAGAAGTGAAACTATTTGCATGTGACATAATCTTGTATGTAGAAAATCCTAAGGAACATACACACAAATTGTTAGCACTAATAAATGAGTTCATGAAAAGTATTAGGATATAAGATCAATATACAAAATTAAATTCTATTTCCATATAACAAGCAATGAATAATTTGAAAACAAAATTGAGAGGTAATTCCATTTACAATAGCACCAAAAAGGATAAAAATGTTCAGAATAAATTTAACAAAAGTACAAAACTTTTACACTGAAAACTACAGAACACTGTTGAAAAAAATTACAGCAAAGTCAATAAATGAAAAGAAGACATTCCATCCCATGTTCATGGCTTGGTAAGACATTATTATTAAAATTGACGTGGAAATACAAAGAATCCAGAATAGCCAGAATAGGTTAGGTTCTTCCTAACCTTAGGAAGAATAAAATTAGAACACTTAACATTTCCCAATTTCAAAACTTACTAGAAAGCTACAGTAAATAAGACAGTGAGGTACTGGCATAGGTAAACATATACATCAATGAAAGAGAACTCAGAGTCCAGAAATAAACCTCATATTTATAGTTAAATGATTTATGACACAGTGCCAAGAAAATTTAACAGGAAAAGAGCAGTTTTTTTCAGCAAATGGTGCTAAGGTAATTCCACATGCACATTCAAAAGCATGCAGCGGGGTCCTATACCTCATAGAATGTACACAAAGTAACTCAGAATTTTTGTGCAGTGGCTCACATCTGTAATCCCAGCACTCTGGGAAGCTGAGGCAGGTGGATTGTTTGTGCTCAGGAGTTCGAGATCAGCCTGAGCAAGAGCAAGACCCGTCTCTACTAAAAATAGAAAAACTAGTAGAGTGTCAGGTTGGGCACTTCTAGTCCCAGCTACTTGGGAGGCTGAGGCAGGTGGATTCCTGAGCTCTGAAGTTCGAAACCACTCTGAGCCAGAGTGAGACCTCCTCTGTAAAAATAAAATAGCTGGGCACTGTGGCAGGTGCCTGTAGTCCCAGCTACTTGGGAGGTTAAGGCAAGAGAATCACCTGAGCCCAAGAGTTTGAGGTTGCTGTGAGCTGTGATGCCACAGCACTCTACTGAGGGCAACATAGACTCTGTCTCAAAAAAAAAAAAAAAAAAGATGTAATTATAAACCTTGAACATTCCTATATATCATAAACAAGAAAAAAATCATTGTCCAGATTGCTTTCTATGTTCAAATGTACTTTATCTGGTTTCTATCTCAAAATATTTTGTGATTCCGTCATCTCCCACTCCCTGCTAGCTCCTTCAATTCTTCCCAGAACTCTTTGCTTCTCTATTAAACATATCACCCTATTACCTCTATTACCCTATTATTTTAAAAAAAAAAAAAAAACACCTTATAACACGGGGCGAGTACTATGGATTACTGTGAGTCTCTGTTTACAAATGTTAAAATGGAGGGGATGAATAATCATGCTATCATAGAAACTAGGTAAATGAAGTGCCATAATCTATACTGGCTGACTCGGCACTACATAAAAGGGAAAAGAGAATCAGCATAGCTGGGTTCTAAAGTTTAATGTACACAATTCTTATATAATTCACACATATTTTATTAGTGTCAACAGTGAAGTAAAATTCATCATAAAAAATAACCTACAACTAGGTATATGTGCTTTTTTCTTTTTGAATTTTAAAACATCAATGAAAAAGGATGTGGTGGCTCATTCCTATAATCCTAGCATTCTAGGAGTGGTAGGCAGGAGGATCCCTTGATCTCAAAAGTTGAAGACCAACCTGAGCAAGAATGAGACCCCATTTCTACTACCATAAAAATTATCCAGTGTTGTGGTAGGTATCTGTACTTTCAGCTAGTCAGGCAGGTTGGGCAGGAGTATCTCTTGAGTTTGAGATTGCTGTGAGCTAGGATGGGGCAATGGTCCTCTAGCCTGGGCAAGACAATGAGACTGTCTACAATGACATTTTGAGTTTCTTGCTCCTAGTTCCTTGGCTTTACAAAGAATAAGGACTGGAAGGTGGGAAGAATCAAGAAGAGACTGCTTTCACTGTAATCTCTATATCCATGCTCTCTTTAGCTCTGTCCAACACAACTATTATTATCTCCTAGTTAGTAACATAAATGCTTTTTATTGTTCCACCCAAGAAGATCACTAGCCCCATGTGACTCTTAAGCATCTGAAATGTGGCTATTATGAATAAGAAACTGAATTTTTAGTTTTACTTAAACTTACCCTTTCTATAGCTTCTTTCTCCTGAGGCGTAACTTGAATGTAGTTCATATGACCGCTTCCAGCTTCTGCAATTCCTCCACTGCCACCTCCTCCTCCTCCTCCTCCTCCTCCCTGACCACCAGCTTCTTGAACTGGTTCATTTAACATCTGAATAAAATGCTCCTGGTGTTGGCTAATTTGCTGGGGTAATGTGACAGAGGGAAATAATACATTGATATTAAATATTTTCCAGTAAACAGAAATTATAAATATAAATAAGGGAAGTGGCTATATTCTTCCAAATGGGGTATTTATTTTTTTTTTGAGATAGAGTCTTACTATGTCGCCCTTGGTATAGTGCCATAGCATCACAGCTCATAGCAACCTCAAATTCTTGGGCTTAAGTGATTCTTGCCTCAGCCTCCCCAGTAGCTGGGACTACAGGCACCCGCCACAACCCCTGTCTTATTTTTTTGTTGTAGTTGTCATTGTTGTTTAGCAGGCTGGGGCCAAGTTCAAACCTGCCAGCCCCAGTGTATGTGGCCCGTGACCTAACCACTGAGCTATGGGAGCCGAGCCCAATGGGATACTTCAGAGTGATTCTAAATATTCAGCCTTTGAAAAGACATGATTTCCTGTATATTATTAAAGAAATTCATTAATTTTAAGCAAAGTAAACAATGAAGAAAATTCAAATTCCTACATGTAAGCCACCCTCCTTCCCCAATCGGTTAAAAACTCTCCTGGAACTAGAACTTCTCAGGTTCTTTAATATGTGAATGTGGAATGGGAATATCCAAGAAGTAAATGTAAAATGCTTCCTAAATTGATCCCAACTTTTTTCAGTCCTTACCTAGAGCCTAGAGTATGTTATTTTGAGTGCAGCTTAGAAGAATGCTTTTGCTATTCTCAAAAAGAGAGGTAGTCCAGTCCAGTGTTCATGGACTCTTTCACAACCTGAAACTCTTAACCCCATTTTTTAAATTGGCAGTTAATTAGTTACCTGCAGTAACTGAGGATTCTCTCTGCCTATCTGTTGTAGCAATGCTGGAAGCAGGGAAGGATTTTGTTGAATAATTTGTCTCATCTGTTGAAACTGAGGCTGATTCCGCAAAAATTCAAGGGGATGTCCTAAAACACACAACCACAAACATTTTTAAATAAGTGCAATAAATATATACACAAAGAGCTGGTTAAGTCTTAAATTTAGACAACAAATATTAGCAAGTAAACAACAGTGAGCCCTTGAATTTAGTAAAATAAATGATAAAAACTTCTAACTGTACCAACTTGCAAGTTTTATTCAGCAGAAACCATTCCTATTAGCAAAGGCAAAGAGTGTAGAACACTGTAATATGAACTAAGCTTCCCTATAATTGCCACAGGCACTCAGTATTATCAAGTCATGCTGAGAACACATGCCCTGCATGTGCTCTATCAAAATAAATAGTACTTAAAGTTGTTCCTGTTGCTCTAAAGTTCCTAAAAGAAATATGTATCAGGACTAATGAAAAAAAAAACCCCACTAACTTTATAAAGCAATCAAAACCTCTCAAACAACACAACCTCAGATTGAACTCCTGGAAAATACTAAAACAAAGAAGGGAAAGCATATATAATATTTAAACTGCAGGTTTGCAGCTTACAAGGAGTTTCAATACAAACTTAACTGAATTTGAAAGAAGACTTTTGGTTGTTAAATTTCAAACATTTGTGAACTATAAAAACTTGAGGGCTCGGCGCCTATAGCTCAACCGGCTAAGGCGCCAGCCACGTACACCTAAGGTGGCGGGTTTGAATCCCCAGCCCGGACCCGCCAAACAACAATGACGGCTGCAACCAAAAAATGGCCGGGCGTTGTGGCGGGCGCCTGTGGTCCCAGCTACTTGGGAGGCGGAGGCAGGAGACTCGCTTGAGCCCAGGAGTTGGAGGTTGCTGTGAGCGTGATGCCATGGCACTCTACCCAGGGGGATAGCTTGAGGCTCTGTCTCAACAAAAAAAAATTCAGAAAAACTTGAGATAGGTAAGCTGCAAGACAATCTAGTGCTTACATCTACAGTTTGTTAGTCTAAGATTCATTTACAATAAATATTAATAATGCCAAACAAAGCATAAGACACAGAACCTATAACATTTTAGGGCACTGATACTTATCACGTTATGCTGAAGGAAAATAAAGAATTGTGTGTTTTGAAGTAACTAATGAGTCAAAGAGAATTTTTAGATGTTATCATTTTCTACCTTAGAAGGTAATCACTCAAATGAAGATGACCATAACATGAACATTTATTCTTTTATGTATAACACTAACTGCATAGGTGAAGAAAATGAGACTCAAAGACTACATTATCTAACCAGTGCTGAATGGGACAGCACCCCAAATATGAAGCAGAGCTGTGGCCTCCACTAACATGCTGAAATCTCAACAAATGAAAGGTCTATTCTCTGGCAGACTATATACAAAGTGCTTGGTAATTTTTGTCAACCAGAGGTGAGACTGCCATAATTAGAGCTGGGAAATGTGTGAAAGAATAGCCTCTTCAAAATTAACAGTGTAAACTACATTATCAATGCATATAAGAAAGAATGAATGAAGGAGAACATTAAGTAATTTCTACTAGGCCTACATCTGTAGCCACCAATGGCAATAGAAGCGTAGGCACCCACCAATAAGGAGCCTCGAATTCAAGTTTTGCCTTCTTGTTACAAGATTTTAAACTCTCAGGGCTTCATTTCCTTGGTTGTATAATTACTACTAAGACACTGTTTTGAATTTATACATATTTTTATAATATTTAGGGAGAGGTAAAGAGACAGGGTGACAAAACACTCTATGTGGCTTCAAAAAGTAACACTGCATGCAAACTGGAAAGCATGTTTTCCTTTCAATAAAAAATGAACATATTCTCTTTGACAACTGCAGCACTGATGTTTAATATGAGAAAGGATACCTTTCACAACCACTTGGTAGAATTTCTTTTAGGCCCTTCTCTAACATTAGTGTACAGAGAACTTAGCTTCAGAGTTATCCAAATACTTTGGAAATAAATCTCACTTCTAAATATTTTAGATCAAATTATTAAATTATTAAATTATTTTATGCTAAAATTTCCAGGACCATTTCTTTCCCCTCCAAAAGATTCTGCTTCACCTCCAGAACTTGTTGTTGTTGTTGTTGTTGCTGTGGTAGTTGCTGCCGCCGCCGCCACTGCTGAAGACTGAGGAGTCCCAGTGCCAGCCGCCTGAGGGGGGTCAACCACAGCCTGACTTTCTCTATCTCCAGGGATTCCCTACAACACAGTTTCAAGCTTTAAGAATCCTATCACACAAAATTAGCTAAATATTATACAGAATAAAAGACTTGCAATCTATTTAATATCTTTGTCTAATTTTCAAGAACAAATATATATCTGCTTCAATTAAAACTAAGGACTATTAAACTGCATGGTTCCAAATTAGATTAGAATGGCCTGGGTGGGATATTGAATGCTTTACTCTAAGGCAGTGTGGTACAATAGAACTTTCACAATGTTGGAAATGTTCTCTACCTGTGCTGTCCAATAAGATACCCAAGTCACTGGTACGTGTATTTTGTTAAAACTGAAAATGACCAAGGTTTCTGTGCAACATGTTGCTCTAGTTCATTTCTGAACTTCTTAGAAACTTTCATCAGCTGTTGTTCAGCAATATAGAATGGATTGCATTTATAACTCTAAGCCTTAAGATCCTCCAAAGAAAGAGAGTTTGATGAATACTTGACAGTCCTGAAATGACTCCTGGAAAAATAAAAAGCCTAATGATTACAGATCAGGTACCACAGTGGACATGCAGGAAGACTTCTTCTAATGATCTACCATACCGAAAAAGTGTCATTCAGAAAATGTGGCATACAAAAATTTTTCAAAATTCACAAAATAGGTACAAATGAAATTTAAACAACCTAAATTTTAGGTGATATAATAACCCATCTGGAGTTACTGTAGCTTAAAACTGTACTGAAAGTTTGAGGACACCTTATTTTGATGCATATCATTTATAGACATCTCATCAATAACTTTTCGTTTGTTTTGGCCAGGGCTGGGTTTGAACCTGCCACCTCCGGCATATGGGGCCAGCGCCCTACTCCTTTGAGCCACAGGTGCCACCCATCATCGATAACTTTTTAAAAAGTCTTGCTTCCATTTTCTAGTAAGACAGAAGCCAAACTCATCAACATAAAAATAACAAAGGGTAATGAGCAGCAGGATAATGGCTGGCTGTACTAGATGTTGCAAATGCAGGCATTGGAAACAAATGTTTTTCAGAGTTCACTAATTCAAACTCTTACTAAAGATGAGGAGTTATTAACTGTTAGCAAATTATAATAAGCAGATCTATATAGTCTATCCATCAAATTTTCAAACAGGTTTGATAAACTAAAAGTTCACCACCACTGCTACATCTCTACCTCTAACGGTACATACATATGGCCTTTTATTATATAAGGGATCAACATTTCTTCTTTCCATTCATTAACCTTCACTTATATATTAACTAGTAACAGTTAAAAGTAGCTTTTCTTTTCAGTCTATGAAACAAACAAATACATACTAAAAATTTTTAAAATGTTTCATGAATTTATCTTTCATCTATGTATTTGCACTTGCTGCTATATAACAGTTTTAAAATTCATTGACTCTGGAAATAGTGATGATTTTTATACCTCAAAACTTCACATCCATTAGATCAAAATAACTAATGAAATTAAACTTAAAAAGAATTTTAAGTCAGATATAAATGAAAGCCATAAGGAAAGACAACATTCTCATAAAATCCGTTGGGGGGGGAATACCCAATTATCAATTAACAAATCAGTAATTCCTTAGTTCCAAACAAAATGAATAAATAAACTACCAGCATTTAAAGACATTATTCAAGAAGATAATGGAAAAGTAAATTCAAGAAGACAAAATGATATGCTAAGAAAAGATTTTGTGACTCTCAGATACAAATGCATACGCAAATAACTGGTGGAGGCAAACCACAGTTACAGGGCTTAGAACTGTGACTCTTCTGAAACTAGACACAGCTAACTACCTGAAAAGGAGTTTCTAACAAGCCCAGAAACAAAGAAACCGAAACTGCGGACTTTACTCCCCAAAGGGTGATTTAGGACAATTAAGACTTTGACAATACTCCAAAACATCAAACACAATTATGAATAAAAATTTAGGACTAAAAGGTTAATTCAATGTTATTACAAAATTTTATGTTTAGAACTCTTTTACTTTAGCATGTAAACTAACAAGGGTTTTGAACATGTTCTACAATCTAGGCTAGGTATGATGGCTTATGCCTGTCCCAGTGCTCTGAGAGGCTGAGTTGGACTGACTGCTTGAGCTCAGGAGTTCAAGACCAGCCTGAGCCAGAGTGAAACTTTGTCTCTAAAAATAGCCAAGCGTTGTAAGTGGGTGCCATAGTCCCAGCTACTTGGGAGGCACACCTACTCCCCCCACCCCAATACCTTGTTTAAAAGTCCCTCAACTTTACTATTGACTATTAAAAAAACCACCAAATTCAAATGACTACAGAATGAGACAAGCAACATCATACATTAAAATACATAATGCTACATCAGGTAACAGAAAGTGAATGCAAAAATCTGGGAGCAAGATTGTCCAGATAAATCAGAAATGTGTATTTATGTGAAATCTTCTAATTTTAGAAAACTGGCAACTAATTACAGAAATTAATAAAGTATAAGCAGGAGTGGCGCCTGTGGCTCAAAAGGGTAGGGCGCTGGCCCCATATGCTAGAGGTGGTGGGTTCAAACCCAGCCCCAACCAAAAAAAATAAATAAATAACAAAGTATAAGCAAATAAAATCTGGCCTGGGCTCCCAGACTGACTTTTTTTTGCTCTAAATAATTCATTCAAAATCACACTGGCACCTAAAAAGATAATAAAATGTCAGACAATTAGATTAAAAATCTGCCCTCCACCCCCAACACACAATAGTCATCCAATAAAGATGACATAATTGGGGAAAAAGCAAGCACTACACTCCCATGTGGATAGCAAATTTTACAACCATTTAGTCATGTTGTTTTCTAACTAAAACCCTACCAGAATCTTTTAGAAAAAGTTACATCTTATTTAAAAAAAAAAAAAAAAGTTGACATACTAGGAAAAATAAAAGCATTTTGTAAATTATCTAAAATACATTATTCTTGGCTAGGCATGACGGCTCACACCTGTAATCCTAGCACTCAGAGAGGCTGAGGCAGAGGAGTTCCAGACTGAGGAACTGAGGCTGAGCTCAAGGAGTTCCAGACCAGCCTGAGCCAGAGCGAGACCTCTTCTCTAAAAATACCTGGGCTTTGTGGTGGGCACCTGTAGTCCCTGCTACTTGGAGGCTGAGGCAAGACAATCACTTGAGCCCAAGAGTTTGAGGTTGCCATGAACCATGATGCCACAGCACTAAACTGAGGGCAACAAAGTGAGACTCTGTCTCAAAAACAAATAGACAACACAAAAACAAAGAAACACTGTTTTCCATGAATTGTTAACTCATCCTTTAAAATCTGTTTGAGATTTTGATTTTAAACAACTAAAATAAAGAAAAATAAAGCATATTTCTCACCATTAAAAGATATTCCACTGCTCTGTCAGGGTTGTTGAAACTGGCTCTCAGGGCTGCAATTACTTGCTCTCGTTCATATCCCATTGACATAATCTCAGTTACCATATTCTCGTAAGACTGACCTGTCACTAAAAAAAAAAGGGCATGGAGGGAAAAGAAATAAAAAAAGGTAATAAACAAACATTCTTTACACATTTCTTGATTATATATACGTGTATACAGTCCTTCTGGCACTACTGTGCTAGGAATACAAAGATGAGTAATAGTATAAATTACAACACATTGGTAGTAGAAGAGTAATGGCACCTCAACAATGCCCATAATCTGATCCCTGGAACCTATAAATATGTTAGGTCATATGGTAAAGAAAAATTGTAGTAATAGATGAAATTAAGGCTGTTAATCAGCTGACTTTAAGACAGGGAGTGCATCCTGAATTATTGGATGATCTGAGTGGGCCCAACGTAATCAAAAGGGTCCTTAAAGTATAAGAAGTTAGAGGAGCGGATCAAAATGCTATACTGTTGTCTTTAAAGATGGACAGAGGGGCCATGGGCCAAAGTATGTGAGCAGTCTCTAGCTTAGTAGTTGGTAAGAACAAAGAACTGAATTCTCTCCTTGAGTCTCCAGAAAGAAATGTGGACGCCTTAATTTTAGTGTCCACCTTTATTTATTAAGTACAATAGAAATATCAGGTACAAAAACTAAGAGACAATTAGTGGTAGATTATGAAAGGCAACCTGTAAGAGACAGATGAACTGGCGCGGCGCCTGTGGCTCAAGTGGCTAAGGCGCCAGCCACATACACCTAAGGTGGCGGGTTCGAATCCAGCTTGGACCCGCCAAACAAAAATGATGGCTGCAACCAAAAAATAGCCAGGCGTTGTGGTGGGCGCCTGTGGTCCTAGCTACTTGGGAGGCTGGGGCAGGAGACTCGCTTGAGCCCAGGAGTTGGAGGTTGCTGTAAGCTGTGAAGCCACGGCACTCTACCCAGGGGGACAGCTTGAGGCTCTGTCTCAAAAAAAAAAAGAGACAGATGAACTAAATTCTGAAATCATGCATTTCAAGCAATGAATTATGATGCAACAAGATCGCAGTTTCCTGTTGACATCTTATATTATCAAAATAGTGGGGAAAGAGAGGTAAGAACTAAAAAGTTAGAATCTCATCTACCACACAAAAGTGGTATTACTGCCCTAAACTGTTGCTCACCCATGATAAACTTGCTTTACGTAAATCTTTTCTTCCACTTGTGTTCTGGGTACCACAGCCTTTACAGTCATTTCAAAGAACTGCATTTGGTTATTTTCTCTCTTCTCCACCTTCTCCCCTTCTGCTCTACTTAATTATCCCGATTAGCATCTAACTGTGTGTTACATTTCCTCCTAAAACAAAACACACCTCCTTGGATTCCATCCCCAAATTCCTCTATCAGGAACTATCTACTCTTTTCCCTTCACAGCCACAGCTATTCAGCATGCTGTGTACATTTTCTCACATTCCATTCTCTCCTGGACTAATTCTAATGACAATTCCCCCCTCAAATGTGTCCCACCATTACCTGTCTTCTCCCTTTAAATAAATGGCACCTCTATCCGCCTAACCACTTGGACCAGAAATCCTGGTGATTTCAGTTCCTTTCCTCCTAACTTTCCACATCTAATCTACCAGCACACCTCGGAGATTCTATTTCTAAACTACATCCAAATCCACCGAGATCCTTCTCTCCCACTGTCATCACTCAGAGCAGCTCACTGCTGTCTCTGGTCTGGACTACACTCTGCTTCCACTCCTGCCCCCACACCTCCAATCCATTCTTCAGCCAGTTACAAAAGTGAGTTTTTAAAAAGGAAAACCTCATCCTATTTGGGTTGGAATTCTCAGTCTTCAGCAATACTCTACCCATCACACTTAGCTTCTCTGGATTATTTCAACAGGCTATGCCCTTTCCTGCCCTAGAGCCTTTACACATGTCTGCTTTCTTTGGATGGGCAATTCCTTCGCATGCTTTGGTTCTAAATTTAAAAGTTACAATCTGTGATATTGCCTAACAATGCCCAACAGCCTTCTATTTTTCTTTATAGAAGCCCTTTGTGTTCTTAATATCATTTACCAAGATTTGCAACTTACTTTATGTTTTATTATACAGATTCACCTGTCTTGGGACCATGTCATTTTACACACTTCTCTGACACATACTATCTATTAAATAATTTTTCTGCAGAATTGACAAAATAATGGTATTTATAATAGCTTAAAAAAAAACCAAACACAGAGCAGATTAAGCATTGATACCTTGTTTAAGTAATTTTTCCCATCCCATAAATTATTTTTTAAATTTTCTTAATTATCCACTGATAAAATGCTGGCAACAAAGCCACTCAAGGACAATACATTTTTAGTAGCCTACCCCCCAGATACAAAAATCAGAATTAATAAAACCAAAATTAAGAGTTACAGAGAATCAGAACTATTTTAACACAATGTATCTCATCTAGTTTTCAGAAAATAACCCATGAGAAAGGCTTATTTTCATTTCCTTTTAATGCTGAGGCATCAATAAATAACTGGTACCACATAAGTCACAGATATAAATATAGACTGCGAGTGCAGCGACCTCACACTGAATCATTATATGTGTACTCTGCCTCCTAAAATGTTTCCTAAGTAACCAAATTATAAAAACTCAAAAAGAAATGCCCATAAGCTGTATGATACTTTCAAGTTTCAGAAGTACAAAGGCAAATGACTATAAATAACACTAGGGAAGATGGACAAGGGACAGAGCTAATGAGGTCCAAGAGGTGGGGATGAAGCAGCTCACACACGTTATTAAGAGCTTGGCACTTATCCTCTAGGTCAGTGATTTTCAACCCGTGTGTTGCAAGAGGATCATAAGTGTGCCTCAAAAAATTTTAAAGATCATTGAAATTATTTTTGAAAGAAGTTCAAAGCACAGTAAATATATTCTTTTTTTCTACTTTTCTAATTAAAATATGCCATGGAAGTTTATCTATAGGTTCAACTATGCCATTAAATAAAAGAGGTTGAAAAACACTACTCTAAGGCCAGAGTTCAGTGGCAGACAACTATTATACTAGCACTCCAGGAGGATGAGGTGGATAGATTTATGTGAGCTCATGAGTTTAAGACCACCCTGAGCAAGAGGGAGATTCCATCTCTAAAAACAGCTACTTGGGAGGCTGAGGTACGAGGACTGCTGAGCCTCAAGAGTCTGAGGTTGCTGTAAACTATGACACCACAGCACTCTACGAAGGGTGACAAAGTGCGACTCTGTCTCAAAAAAAGAAAAAAAGAAAAACACTGCTCTAAAGAACTAACAATGACTCTTATTTGATTTGTCTTTCAGAAAGCCCAGTCTGGACTGAATACAGTGGCTCACACCTATCATCCCAGCACTTTAGGAGGCTGAGGTAAGAGGATCCCTTGAAGCAAGGAATTCAAGACCAATTCAGGCAACATAGGGAGACACTGCTGCTACAAAAATTTTAAAAAATTAGCTGGGTATTGTGGACTGTGCCTATAGTCCCAGCTACTCAGGGGGCTGAGACAGGGGAATCACTACAGCCCAGGAATTTGAGGCTGCACTGAGAAGGGAAAGGTCAGAAGACCAAATGGAGAAGGATAATGTGAGATTTTTAAGTAAGATAACAACCTGAACCAAGGCAACTGAGTGGTAGTGGAAAAAAATATTCCAGAGACTTTAAGAAAGAGAGTCCTTGATCAAAATAATGCTAATGCTTAGGTCAAGGATGAATGAACGAGTGATGGTGCAAGGAAGTAAGAAAACAAAGGAAAGAATCAGTTGGGGAATAAAAGATAAGTCAATGTGAAACCTAAGAAAGTCACAGGTTTTCTAGCTGACAGTTTAAGGAAATGACTTTGGGAGCTCAGAGGAAAATACTACAGTTGTTTTTTTTTTTTT